TGCCACGGCTGGCTGGGAATCTCTCGCTACAGGATCAACTTAAGGCTGTTCAGGGAGGGTTTAGAACAACCTGATAATAATGAATTACAATAGTCCTGGCTAGAAATTAAAAAATGCATGAAGTAGTTTTTCATCACCCCTCTGAGACAGAATGCTTCTCATTTTAGAGATATTGCCAAAAGCAGGAAAGCAAATCATTTGTAACTTGTGTCCTCTGTCTAAATAAATAAATAAATCTGGGTACATTTCCAGATGATTTAACATGCAACTATTTTGCTCGTAATAAGTTAAATGAGTAAAGAAAAAAAAAGGCTATTTACACAAGATAATTCATAATTTTATTGGGGGGGTGATATTGGTTGGGTTTGATTATCAGGGGGGTCATAACCCCTCTAACCCCCCTGGAAATTATGCCCCTGATTGCCATGGCTGTGGTAGTTGCAGTATGTGTACTGCATTGAATTCTATGATTTTCACAGATTGAAATAGTACCTTTTATGTTGACCCCCAGCTTCAAATTATCATTCAGGGATTACCCCCCAGTCCAGACACCCCTGCTTCTACAATACATTTAATTCACAGTGGGGATGAAATCTCCCCATCATTTACTGCATCAACCACAATTTAGGAATCTATTTTTCACAGTTCCGTAGAACACATAGCTAACTTACACCAGCTAATTCCTTTTGACATATTTATTAACTTTCAGACTGGAAGTTGAGATCTGCTGCTGATCTCACTGCCTCCTTCCCTGTACTAAGATTTACAGATGTTGATTAAAAAAAAGTGCAGAAGATGTGGAGGAATCTAATATATAAGTGGAATATTTATTTAGACTTTTGTTTTTGTTTGGTTTTTAAATTGACAACATTTTCTGCTGTTCACACTTGATGTTATTTAATATTAAATATTAACATTATGGTACAGCTGGCCAAATAACTCTAAGTGGAAGGGGGAATGAAAAGTTGCATGCTAAACTTTTCGTATTCTGTGGATTCAAGCCCATACCCCCAATCCAGGAAAGTCTAGAACTGGCTTTCTGGTTAAAAGGTTTGCCCTGAATTCATGAAGACTCTGGATGTTGCAGGGCTGTCTTAGTTGACAAGCTACTGCAATGTTGCATGGGAGATCAGGGGCAGTACCTCTGGATTGGCAGACCGGAGTGGTGGTTCCCATTAGAGGTGGGTTTTGATTATCGATTTATTGATTAAAATCGATTTTGGCTTGGATAACGTGATATAACGTGATATAGATAGGTTCACGAGTGAGGGGGGAAGGAAGTTGGAGATCAACAGGCGAATTGGTGCTGTGGCATTTTAACACAATTTAATCCCACATTTGTGAAAGAAAAGCAAAACACTTTTTTGAAAAGTCTGTAACAAAACCATCAAATCTGATAAAGGTTATTTAAATGCTGCAAAAGAAGAATGGATTGGAATAGAAAAAGTACATATCCTAACCTTAATTACTGGAGGAGAATAATGAATGATGCTCATAGTGAGTAAAAAGTAAACTGAGTGCATTTTTTGGATAGAGATTCACTTTTAATGTGTGTGTTTAATATAATACAGATACATAAAAAACACTCCCAAAACAGAATTAATTATTACAAAATATTAATAAAAACTATAGAAATGGAGGCAACTTTGCCCGTGGTTGAATGTATACAATGTATGAAAAAAGCTTTATTGCAGATACTAATTTTACTAATTTAATAATAATAATTTTGTGTTGTAAGATTTATGACTTTCATGCTTTCATAGTGGTACTTGGGAGAGCTTGACATTTTTATCAGGTGGTACACACTGTAAAAAGTTTGAGAAACACTGATAAGTTAAGTGTATGTGTGCTTTTGGAAAACATTTAAAGCTGCTGTACAGAATCTTTGAAACAAGCTTAAAACATTTTTAGAATATAAACAGAACATCTGCTTCTCTTTACAGCTCCTCACTCCACCAGGGCTGTTTGGCACTTTCTGATAATGTGATGTACCTACTGTGGCAGTCATACAGACAATTGGACGGTCCAAAAATTGGCCTACCTATTACTGGCTGAGGTTTTAGTAGAGTTGTGGCTGAACCACATAAAAATATATCATTAATTTTAATCTCCCCAATCAATGATAACGTTATGTTGGAATGTTGTTAAAGAGGGTCAAAAATGTTTCAACCCAGTTTGTTTTGCAGATTCTGTATAGCAGCTTTAATATAGGGAGGACACAACTTCCAGATTGTGAGTAAAATCAGATTTTTTTTTCTCTTTGCCAGTTTAACAGTTTCTGTTGTGCCTGTCACTATTCCCTGTCTGTTTTCTTACCTGGTTCTTCCTGACCTTGTACTTTCTCCTCACGTTCCCCTCTTTCCTCTCTCCCTCTTTGGGCTGGCAATCATACACAAATAGATTGTATTCAATTAGATGAAAAATTACATTAATATGAAAAAAATTCTATTAAGATCACTAACAAAAAGTCCTCTCTCAGTGTATTTTCAACCAAAAGGCAAATAACCAAACCACGTGAACATCTAATAAGAGATATAAACATTGAAACACTGATCCAACATTATTCTTGATTGACGGATCATTTGATTTTACACTTTTACCTGAATGTGGGTCCTTTTTTTGAAAAAAAAACTTCCTTATATCTATTATGAACCTGGCTGTCTCTCTGTACACACACACACACACCACACCACACCACACCACACACACACACACACAACAGGTGTTCTAAGGTTAATGGGCATTCAGTCAGTTAGCTAGTTAGTATCCATGTCAAACAGGACAGTGGTAACAACAGCAGGCTGCAGACAATTTAAAGTTTTAGATTTTAAATAGGCTGTATACATTTCAATGGGAGCAACAGGACGGTCAAATGTCGCTGAATTTACTACAGAGCAGGACGGATTGTAGGGTAGCAAACATTGTCGGAAAACACGTTTTCAACACTGCAGGTTACCTGGTGTAATGTTTTTCAGCTAAAAATAAACATGGTCTGACTCCTACCTAACTATATAAAGAGTAACTGAAGGTTAAATGCAGCTAATATGTCCTGTTAGAGATAGGGTGAGGAGTTTGGCTATCCAGGAGGGGCTCAGAGTAGAGCTGCTGCTCCTCCACATCGAAAGGAGCTAGTGGAGGTGGTTTGGGCATCTAACTAGGATGCCTCCTGGGTGTGGTGTTCCGGGTATGCCCTGGTGAATGCCCCCGATGGATATTAATTAAACTTGTAGTTGGATATAATATGATTAGAATTAAGCATAATTAACTATTAGCAAAACTGCATTCAGATAAACCCTGTTTTAAAACTCTGTATCCCTTTATTGATGAAAAGACTGGATGTTAAGTACTGTTATTTATATTTTGGATAAAGATGGGGGGATCTTAATCTCTTTGACAGTTCTTATGTTTGATTAGATCACCAGTGTCTAAGGAGGAAAATGAGAGACCAGGAGAAAAAGTAGGTGAAGTTACACTTGTTCTTGAACTCATTGGAAAGCTAAACTCAGAACTGAAAATTCTACTTTAAGAGTCCCTTAAGTTGAAAACGTATTTTGTGTTTATATAGAGTAGTGTTTATATAAAATTACACATTAAAGCTGTAACAATTATGTTTCTTATTGCAGTGATTTCTCTAAACCAGTAACAAACAAAAGCAAATGCTAAATCCTAACTCAGATTATTTTAACTGTACTGTTTTTAATTGTATGATGATTTACAAACATGACTAACCCATTTCTTTTGGTGAGTGTTCTCTATTCCCAATGGCAGTATGCTATCCACACAGTTTCAGCTTGAATCAACAACTTTTGGAGAATTTTTCTCTTTGCTGTTCTGTCATAAAACAAATGGATTGATGGATTTTAGGCATTCTTAACACAACTGAAGAGGTTGGTTTTACATCTAAATGAATTTGCTACTGTAGCATTATTTTCTAGTGTGTTTCCTAATCCAGCCATATTACGTGAAAAGAACTAGAAAGTCTTTCCTCACTGAGTAAAAATAAAAACTGAAAGCCACTTGGATGCTGGGAGATCTGACTTATGGCAACATGACTGCTTAATGATTGACCTAATACTATAAAAGAAAAGGGACATAGCTGAAAATATAGCCAAAATATAATTTTCAATCACAAATATCACATTTAGTATTAGCTTCAGGAAAGAAAAAGAAAGAAAGAAAGCATATATTTAATGACAGGACATTTATTGTGAATAAAAGCTCACATTACAATAAAGCTTGAAGCTGCTGGAAAAAATGAGTTATGATTATCATTTCCAACTATGGCATAATATGCACATACAATGTATTTGAAATAAAGTAAATTATTTGACATGATACCAGCTATGTTTGATTTAACTTGCTCATTTATATTAACTATATAGAAAGTCACATAGTAATATGTGACCACCCCAATTTGCTACAAACAGCAAACAAGGCATATATGATGATGATGATTACTGATGGCTCTGGATTCTACATAGTAACAGAAACTTTAGGGTTGAGATCCTTTCTTCCATAAACTGAGCATTGTGTAATTCAAAAATATTTCAAAGCTTTGCAAAATCCAACTACAGTCCTGTCAAGGTTAAGGAAATGTACAATTCTCCAGCAAATGTCACTCACAATCTCGCTTTAACCAGCAGCCTGGAAAGTTTAAGTAATCAACAAAATAATGAAAAAGCAAAACAAAGTTTGGCAAACAGTGAAACAGTGAGTGAAGCAGAGCCTATTTAAAAGTTGTACTAAAGTTTGAGTCAAAATCTGTATCATTCTTTTCTTAAACTCCAGTAGGGATGTGGCTGTGTTTCAGCCCACTGGTGGAAGTTTGTGACAATGTTATTGACTAAATGTTTAAGCCTCCAGGTGCTGTTAAATGAATGTTTAATGTCAATAAGCAGGCTTTACATTACCAAAAGAACAAGGCTGAACACAAATGCTCTCTTAACAATCTGTAACTTTCAAACCAATTCCTCAAATAATTCTGAAAGAAGTATAAAACTTTCATTCACTTTAAGGAAGTTGTTAAAAGAAAAGTAATCTGGCACTACACAAACATACAAACCAATAATATGACTTAAAACATGAAGAATTTCAGCTTCAAGGCAAATAATGGCCAGGCTGCTCCTGGCCACAAATTTGACAGCAGGGGGAGGGCTGCTGTTAACAACTGGAACCTTTTTTCAGCGCCACAAAATAAAAGAAAAAAAAAGAAAAAAGCAGCGCTCAACAACAGCAGGTACATATCAATAGGCAACGCTCTATGATAGCAATCATGAACAGTTTGGACTCTTGAAAACAAACAAACCAAAAAAAACCTTTCACTCACAATGTTTTACACAATAACAGTCTATAGCAAATTCTCAAAGTACCCAGAAAATCCTTACTTAGGCTACTTATGCATGTGATCCTATTTTACTTTGCAAAACGTGGAGGGACATGATGCTGAATAATTTGTCACGTACAGTTTAACCTTTATCAGTTTTCACCACTCTGCTGCTACATAGACTAGTTCCAATTACCACTTCAACATTCCAGTCTTCTCCACTGTTCACTTCACATTAAATAGCTTCCTGCTTTGTTAAATGACATAAAACCCATCTGTTAATGATGTAATTTAACACAAACAATGCCATAAAGTGTTGGTTTCATTAACAGTAAGTTTGGATTGGAAAAAGCCAAAGTACAATGAACTGGCATTATTAAGTGAAATAGCCTTTGTAAGAGGAACAGGAATATTATACTAAATTTATCATATGACAATGTGGGTAATTCCATTTCTCCTCAACCTTCACTGGAAAATAGCCTGGATACACAAAAACTATTATTTGTGACTCTAGTATTTTATTCAAACTCATTTATTTGAAAATTTACCAAAAGAAAACATTGTTTAACCCAAATGTCCACACAGTGAAACAGCAAATATAATGCTAAGCATACAATTGTCATTCAGAGAAACTCATGTCTCATGATGATCAGCGACGCTTTTGGTAGAATCTATTCCAGGTACCTGTTCTCTTTTGGAAGCGACTGCTCTGGGAGACAGGGTGCCAAAGCTCTGTTTTACATACCAGTCTTCTGCATGCAAGTGTGCATAGGAAGAGTCTTTTACATCCACAATGGTTTTGTTTGACACGGGGCTTGAGGACTCATCATTATTCGTGCACCCACCCTGCAGTGTCATTGCGTGGCTTACATGCCATTGCTCAGACTGCTGGCTCCAGTCTTGCATGTTGGTGACCTGTACTGACAAAGGGCAGTGAGAAGCCTGTGTGCAACCAAAAGTGCTTTTTGTGGCCTGGTAGCATTCTCCCTCTGAAATACTGACAGGAGAAGAGGACTTTCCAGAGGATTCGTATTCGGGGTCGATTGCCTCCACTTTGATTTGGACGGTTCTGGATTTAATCCGCAGTTTATGGGGTAAAGCTGAAGAACTACCATCTGGCACTTTATGTGTGGAGACAATGATGCTTCTTGGGTCTACTACAAATGGCATCAACCCTTTGGGGACCTGCTGCTCATCCTCACCATCAGATGATTTGCTAACTGCACCATCATCCGAGCTCCTGGGTGAGTTACTAGATGACCTCATGATCTGCATGAATGATGCAGACTGAGTGTAGACTCCAGACAAAGGGCTGGCTATGCCAGGTTTGTAGAGTTCATAGGGACTACCTTGCTCTTGTCTATAGCTGCCATTCTCTCCCGGTTCCTGCTTGACCTCTGCATTCCTGCAGACAGTAAAGCTACCCTGAGTTGCGGTAAATGTCTTGGGCATATGAGGTGAATGCCTGATGACTGATATGCAGCTGCTGCGCAGGTGAATAGGCTCCTTTTCTTTGCTGGTAAAACCTTGGCTAGCATTGGGTGGAATAAACATTTGGTGGAGGTTAAGAGCGGCGGAGCTGGATAACCGTTGGACTTCTTGGGCATATGCTGTCGAGCTCACCAATCCAAACTTCAACTTCAATGACAGCAGCTCAGCCTTGAGGGAGGCATTTTCCTCGCCAAGTGCTACCAATTTGTTCTCTAGCACCATATCATTTATGCGTCGCTTCTCCCTTGAACGCTTGGCTGCTTCGTTGTTTTTACGACGCCTCTCCCAGTACAGGGTGTCTTTTTTTCCTCTGGGATAAACTCCCTTTTCCTACGACAAGCAGATTTAGCCTTGAAAGGAAGTGCAGAGATTTTGTGGCTCAGGAGGTCTCTGTTGGTCCCTTGTAAAGCCACAGCCAGGCACAGGGCATCCTCTCCACTGTAGGACTGATTGGAGTCCACTTCTTGCTTTATTGATTGCATATTATTACTGTTTGCTACTGTCAGCATGCTAAAAGATCTTCAACTGTATACCATAATGCTTGTATCGAGCAAAATTAACTGTCACATGGAATTAATCCGCTTGAGTTGAAGAAATCTGTGGAATAAGACACAACAGAAATGTTTTTTGTCAGAGTTTAGTTGAAACAATGTCAAACAAGTTACCATGATACTTTAATATTTACTTGTGCTGATCAAAGATTGTATATTATCATCCACTTAAAGCTTATTCAGATTTTTGTGCTCTACACATAAAACATTAAGGCTGCAATTATGAGTCCAGTATATTTCTGAAATACATTTGTAGAAGAGTAAAATGTGGTTAATAGGGAGAGTTAATATCAAGGTAATTACTTTTTAGTTTTGCTATTACCATTTCCTACTTTGTGTCAGAGAAACAAAGAAATCTTCATTAAAGTACAAAAAAAACATGAAGAAAACATATAATCATTTAACTTTCAGAAACTGGATTCCTTCAACAGATTTCAAAATTCATGCTGTGTAACAGATAAATATTTAAAGATGTCATTGGTGAATGTCATCTTATTTACCAATAGCCTGATACCAGTCAACAAGGTATATCAGTCAGTTCCAATGCCTGGCCAATAAATTGGTGCTTCCCCATGATTTACCTTGATTAAAATTTAAAGTAGCAGTTCTTTTGCACATGCCAAGCTTAGGAAATTGAAGTAAACAAACTTTTTTATTCAAAATGATGAAAATAGACATAAAGGCATGATATCACAAAAAATGAGAAACACGAAGCCTGTAACCTGAATAATTTCTTTTGAACTAGTCTTTCACACTCACTGCAGCAAACAGTGGTATTTAGAAGAGGAGCAGAAAGATTTTTAATTAGAAAAATTTATGTTTAGGGTGTGATACAGTTTCCTCAAATGTTTCTTCTTGACTCTGTGCCTCGTTTTGTCCTTGACTTGGGTCTACATTTAGGAAGAGAGAGACATGACTAATAGGTCACAGACTTGTGTATACATTATAGTCTGGTAACTTCAGACACTAACTTTGTGTGTTACAATTTGGTCTCCCACTTTTTAGAAGCAAGAAGGCGCTGTATCCCCGACAAATCCATTTGAAATACAGGAGAAATATTTCTCTTTTCATTTACTTGAACCCCTTACGCAGTCTACTACAGATTTTATGGTGCCGATGTGCAAACCCCAGCTGGCGTTGACGAACGCGTCCTTTTGTCTTTTTTTTAACGAGGCAACAAAACATCGTGCCTAAATTTGGATCATACATGATTAAAAACGGTGGCGATGTTATCGCAACGTGCGACACTTGGAGGGTGGGTGCTGACCGAGTGTTTGCTGCTGGTTCAGTCGCGACAAGCAGTACAGAGCGATCGACTCGGCGTTCCAGCACCGGGCCGTCAACGCGTCCTGTTGCCCAGATTCCTTCATTGTGTCGGTATTATACAATAAGCCCCGCTCCTGCATCCCGAGTGCCAGCAATTTCTATTGGTGCAGACATTATGCAATGTTTGCCTGTGTGGCAATAACAATACGGACCAGTGATTGCTCAGCTCTGCGTCCAAGTAAAATAGCTCTAAAATTGTCCACATGTGTTAGGTAGCTACACTGTATGTAACAGACTTTACTAAGACAATGTGGGCATTCAACTCTGTACATGACATCATTGTCTTCGTTACTCATGACATTGGCGGCTGAAGCGCGAGGTCCATCTACGCCCTGAAAAGTAAACTGTTACAACATTACAGAGAAGAAAGCGTTACTTTGCTGTCCCGACGTGGACTGACCCATTCTGTTGTCCACACATCGACAGAAGCCACAGTGCTTTGATAATGTTTCTACAAGCCACATCACATTCTTGTGTTTCAACACAGTGTTGTAATCTATGAATCACTGCTACTGGTAGGCCCGTGTGCCTGAATAAAATTAACATATACGTTATACTATTATTTTTTAAAAAGCACACACTCGAACGTGAGCTTTGTCGCACTTTTAACTTGGAAACTACCGAGGCTGTTATTACATTTAAAATAGGTTTTGTGCGAGGACACACAGAAGGTAGCCAGCTGACTGAAATATAAGCTAGCTAAACGCCCCTGTGATTTCTGGGCGTGTGATCAGGCACCATCCTCTACAAACCTGTACAACGCTTAATGTTAATCCCAGACATTTAATATTAACCGCAAATCAAAACTGTACCTTTTCTATCACCTGCTTGTGGGGATTGGTTTGGTTTTCCACCGCGTATGATGCACACAGAAGCAGCATAGGTTTTCCATCAGCTAATAAGGAAATGATTGTCAAGAAAATCCTACAAGTTATAAAGTACTTTGCTCTCCTCCTTGGCTTTTTCCTTTCAAGGTGGCTAGTGACTCATGGATCTGTGTTAGTAGGTCAGTGGTTGAGTGCATTGGCAGCGTGAAATTAAATGACAGCTACTGCATCCAATCGGCATGCAGCATTTTCTAACTTTAGCCAATGACTCTTGGCTTCACCAGAGCTCAAATCTTATTTAAGAATGTCTGTCGTCATTCACAGTAGGAGTGAAGCATTTGCGACAATCGGCTCGCAGGCCGTGCTCGGATTTGTCCTCATATTACGAAAACAAATATTTCCGATGTATTTATTGCTTATACTACTTTTACCATGGCATAAATATGCACATTTACTCCCACAATGTTGCAAATGGGGCGTACACTTCTAAAACAGCACAAGAAGCTGTAGAAGCTCCGTGCGTCTAACGTTTAAGGTTGTCACATTGGTTTATATTTATAGTCAAATTTAGCTACTACATAATTCACACTGTTTACGCACTGTTGCATTAACAGACTTAGGCCATTCCTTGATGTTCTGTTGTCTTTTAATGTAGGTATAAGTCTGTTTTAATTTTATTTCCACTGCTGAATATATGTCTTATTAACAAATTAAATTTTAATTTTAATACTGTATATTTCATTTTGAAATAAAATTAAAAGTGATTTTAAAAGTCTATTTCCAAAAAGGAAATAGTAGTAAATACGTGAAAAAGATAACCGGGGTTAATACAGTTAATTTCAGCTGTTTGGTTGTAAGTATACATACACGTCAGTCCAGACGGAGTGGGGTTTTTTTTTGGGGGGGGGGGGGGGGGGGGGGGGGGGGGGGGGGTTGGAGTCTTGTACCAGATGCCATGATCAGCTGCCGAGACCTGACTGTCACTATACATATTCTATTTGTTTGTCTGATGCTCTTGTTGCACTGCTAAATAGGCTGTAGCCAACATGATTTATAAAGGGATTATAAAATCTAAAAATTACTGCATTATTTTACCTATACTCTTATTAAACTCACTTTCCTAAAAACTGATTGCAACTTCTAACTTGTGACGTAATGTTATGCCTCAAATTTATTTCACATCATTCATGGGAGATATGTTTGATAAATGATAAGTTAACAAGTCACTGCTACCAGCTTAATCAATTCATTGGGGCAACCTGCGTGTTGTGCTGCATTGTCTGATTTGGTCGTAGTGTGTAAACACCTCTAGAGGCCACTGTTGTATAGCTGCTGCAAACTGAACGTGCCCGTACCAGAGGTTATACTTAAAATGGCAGCTGCCAGGAAGTCTCTTTGGACATTTGTGTTCGCCCTTTATGAAATACATATGTTGTATTAATGCACCCGTGCATTGGTAAAATAAATACTAGAATAGCTGATACTCCCTTACAGAAGATTTATTTTGACCTTTCTAAAGCCTTCTTTAAAAATTAGAAAATAAAATGAAAACAGGCATATGAAAAAAGCCTACTAGAAATACTTCTCTGCATTACATTCTAACACTTGGCTAAATCCTAATATGTAATTATGGTTTAATAGTTTATTTCACTAAATGTGATTATGCACTGAAAAAGAACATGTTGGGTTTACTTAATTCAATAGTGGACACTGGTTGCACACAGATGTTTTGCTTTGGCAGGAGCTTAAACAACTGAGGTGAAGTTATTCATATTCAATAAACCTGTGCAATTTGTGTTGATAAAATATGATTGAAACATGTTTTGGTGAAGTAATTTGAGCTCTTGGATATTTTAATCCTTCAATTTTCACACTTTATTCCAATACTATTCAGTAACTTTTACCCAAATACTATGTTATCTTCAAATGACATGTTGGTATTACATTCTAAATACACAATTTTCCAATGAAGGCCTTATAACAGATTGTATTGTTCTCCTACAAGATTGTTGCCAGCATCCACTAGTAACCTTTCAAAACAAAAACGCTAATATCACTGCAGTGACAGTAGGTAAACCATGGGTCTCAAACTCACGGCTCGGGGGCCACTTGCGGCCCATGTCAGCACTACTTGTGTCAGGTTAAGGCTGTGTGCAGGCAGGAGTGGAAGTAGAAGGACCCAATGTGCAGACACTCGGAGGTGGAAAGTAGTGATGGCCCGCTTGAAGCTGACGCTCCGGAGCGTGTGTCGAAAAAAACAACACACTGGTTCAGAAGCACTGTGTCGAGGCTTGCTTCGTTTGGCAAAAGTCACGTGACCAGTGACGTCCGAAGCTTCATTACGCACAGTGCTTTAAGTGGCCCAAAAGAGGTGCCGGTACTCTATTTTTTTTCCGCCTCCCCTGAGGTAACAACAACTATTGAATGGGTTTTATATACAACAGTCAACAGACAACCTTATACAAAATAATAAATCATTTTATTAGTTTGCGGATTTGCTTGAGCTAGAAAGAGCTACTGAACATAAATAAAATGAGCAAAAAGGTATTGAAATTTATTTTTAACAAAATGTATATAAAATAAATTATAAAATAATTTGTATTTTGCTCTCTCTCTTGAGTCACTGCTGGTATCAGCAGCAGCACTTGTAAAGTGTACCTGCAGAGCTTGGTAGTTCTCCCATACTGCTTTCACTGTTCTCTCACTTGAAGCAACCCAATGCACTGATAAAACACGGCCTATCACAAGGAGACGTTGTCCAACATTGTGAGCACTCTCGGTTAACTCCCTTTGGTTTTTTGGTGATGCATGGCAGAGGGAGTAAAGCTGATCTAAGAATATTTTAAAGTGGTTGATTCCTCCTACCTCCTTCAAAACATCACAAACTGCCAGTTCCAGTCTGTGATTGTCTGCGTATTGTCTGTCTTGTCTTAATGTTGGTTTAAAATGGAGCACTGTAACAAAAAATAATTTCCCCCAGGGATCAATAAAGTATTCTGATTCTGATTCTGATTCTGATTCTGATTGGAACAATGCCAGACAAACAGGTAAGGGAATTTGGAACAAAGCTGCGCAGCAACTCCTGCTTTCCTCCCAAGCATCACTGAGGCTCCATCACAAGCAAATGCCAACAAATGTTCCTGTAGGTAGTGAGGGTCAAAGCCATTATTATGAAGACATCCTAACAGTGCTTCAGTGATGTCCTTTGCTGTGGTCCCCTGCAGCTCAATCAGTTCAAAAAATATTGTGTCTGGATTTTCACTGGAAATAGCTGACCGCAGGCACACGACAAGCACAGACTTTCCACTTATTGTAGTGGATTCATCAATGAGCACACACAATTTTCTTTCATTCATCACTATGTCATTGACTACCTTCTTTTTCATTTCAGCTGCAATGTGATCCAGTATATTTGCACATGAGTTATTAGAGTGCAAAACTCTGCCCATCTTGACACCATTTAAGACTTGCAACTGGACATCTATTGGCATGTCTGTAAAGGGACGCCCATGCTTGCCAATCTTATAAGCTGTTCTAAACACATTGCAAGTTGAAGCGTAGTCAGCCTTTCTCATATCTTCATTGTGTTTTGCATTGTATTTTGTGTTGCCTTCTCTTTTATTTCAACTGCTTTCTTGTGATAAATTGAGTCTCTGTGCTCTTTTATTTTCTTTCGTGGTGAGTTTTGTTGTGCAGCCTTGTCCCTTCCAAAAGACGAGATTAAGCACCCACTCCACTCCTGCGACACTCTGCCCTTGCTGCATGTCCACGCGAGCACAAACTTGACTACACACACTACGACCCAACTTTTGATTTCTGCTGATCAGCCACTTGTAATTTGTGGAGAAATACCGGACTTGTGCTTGGGACCAACATTCTGGCCACTCATGCTCGCTAACGCGGCTGTTGTCATCGGTAGAAATGGTGTCATTCTCGTCCTCGTCGTCGCAAAAAGTGCCGTCGTCCGCGGCTGCGGCACTAGTGCAGCTTTCATTAGCTTGCGTCTGACCTGCAGCGATATCATTCTGGCTTGGTGGGGTGTCAGCCAGCGAGTCCTCTGATTCTGACCTTGTTCTTTTACTACTCAGAGTCTGAAGCCAGGAGAGCATATTAAGTGTTCATTGTTTTTGTATTTTAACCGAGCAGCTGTTTGCGCGTTTTACACACCCTCTCCGGACCACGTTGAGTTGACATGACAACGGCAAAAGCGACGCATGCGCTTTTCACTTGTAAAACACATTGGTGTATGGGTAATGTAGTCTCTGCTCTCGGTGGGACGAATTAGGAAGCGTGCTTGTGAAGGGCGCTCTGAAAAGCGGCAGCGCAGCCAAACGATTATAACAGATGTGCAAATGAGAGTACCGGTACGCTAAAAGCACGTTCTGGGCGCATGGAGAGGTGGCGGTACTCTCAAGAGCTATATTTAGAAGTGGCGGTACTGAGTACCGGCGCGTACCGGCCCACTTAAAGCACTGATTACGCACGTAACTGCTTCGGTACCTGATTCAAACAGATATAAGGAAGTGAATCATCCACGGGATTCGTGGAGTGTGTTGATGGTGACAGATAGCGACGAGGTGATCATTCCACTGACAGATATGGAGCCAGCGAGGAAGAGAGGACGTTCTGGCGTGTGGGAATATTTTGAGTTGATTTTGCTCAATTCATTTTATCTGCCGAAGTGAAAAACTTGAAATGTCCAAAATCATGTTTTCATAATGTAAATATCATTACAGCATATGACTTTAGGAACACTTCCATGTGAATTAAAGCTGATGAAGACTACAAAAATGTATTTGACACTATACGTACATGACATTGCTACACTGTAAAAACTGTGACTAGAGGTTACTTAAAAAAGTTATGGCAACAAAGTGACACTTGAAATAATTAAGTAGATTTTAATTTCAAAAGATTTATGTAAAATGTAGAGAAAATGTTAATTAAATTCAAATAGAAAACAAAAGTAGATATTAATAGAATTAAACTGTAAATATGTGTTGGATTTAGGGTCAAAATCTCAAACTGAAGGTTGAAATTGCCCAACTTTACCAAAAAAAATAATTGATATGAAATAAGTCTCTGAGAAAAATTACTTTGAATTTACTAACTATCTGGCA